TATATATATATATATATTTTTTTTTTGCTCCTGAACTTCTTCTACTCTAAACCTCTCCAATCATTTTCATGATGTCCATCCGGTTTGCTTCTAAATGCCATATCTTTCTAACTGTGCTCTTTCCCAAAAGCTCCCAACATACAACCTATATACTTATTATGGACACAGTATGCTTACATTATTAGCTATCTTTGTTATTATTTGTTGTTATTTGTTATTAGTCCCATCCTTCAACTCTATTCAATACCTCCCATCTATCTCTTAACATCATCAATATAGGATTTCTATTTGCCATATATATTTCAACCATACTGTGATGTTTTACAAAAGTTCTGAACCTTTCTATTCTCATTGCTTCTACAGATTGTGAATTAAAAATAAACATTTTTGCTAAAAGTATTATTATATTATTGATTGATTGACTATGACTTTTCAGATCACCCAGTAATGCTATCTGCAAGGTTAGTTCCAGGTAAATATTGCAATCCTTTAGCCATTCCTGGACCTGTGTCCAAAAACAAGCTACAAATGGACAGAACCAAAACAAATGATCTAATGATTCTATCTCTCACAGCAAAATCTGCAGAGCTGGGAAGATTGTATCCCCCATATAAATAACATTCTATTGGTAGCAAGAATTTTATATAATAATTTAAATTGAAAGATTCTAATTTTTGAATCCGGTGTCGTTTTGCGTGTCAGTTCATAAACACTATGCCATGGGATCGGTACGTCAAAGATCTCTTCCCAACTATTTTGCAATCTATATGGGACGGCTGTCAATCCTTTGGTCCTTAAGTGAAACTGATATACTTTTTTATTTATCACAGTTTTCCTTAACCAATTATGTTCTTTAATGCAAGGCCGACAGACAAGTTCCTTACTTTCTCCCCCTTCAACTTTCCTCTTCCACTTTTGCGGTAAGGCTGCAATTATTTGGTTGTAATTTTGGGTAGAGCAGACATTTCCATATGTTTTTGTTAGCTGCATGTGCGACATAACTCCACCAGTCCTACCGATGATATCATTTACGAAGATTATACCTTTTTTAAACATTCTGTCAAAAAATAAAGGTTTTTTGTCAATTAGTATATTTGAATTTAACCACAATATTGGTTGCATTATTTGTTCTGTCGTTTCTGGAGGATTAAATTGAAATTGCAACCAACTTTCTATGGCTTGTTTTAGAAATAGTGACATTTGGGAGATTATTTCCTTTTCAAATAACTGAAAGTGAGAGGTTGTAATCTGAATAAAGGGAAAAAGGCCTTTCTTGAACAGTGGGTGAGACAATCTTACTAATTTGCTTGAGAACCAGTTCGGATTTAAGTATAACTTTTGGATGACTGAAGATTTTAGTGATAGGTCTAATGCTTTAATATTTAATAATTTCTGTCCTCCGAATTCATATTCATTATATAAATATGCTCTTTTAATTTTGTCTGGCTTGCCGTTCCAAATAAAATTGAATATTTTTTTCTCATATAATTTAAAAAACTGTTTACTAGGCGTAGGCAAGACCATAAGCAAATAGGTAAACTGGGATAATACTAAAGAGTTAATCAGGGTGATTTTTCCACAAATTGACAGGTATTTTACTTTCCATGGTAGTAAGATCTTATCTATTTTTGCTAACTTTCTATTAAAATTTATTGAAGTGAGATCATTTATTTCCTTTGGGATATGTATTCCGAGTATATCCACATCACCATCAGACCATTTTATTGGTAAACTACATGGTAATGTAAAAATTGTATTTTTTTGTGATCCAATACGTAATATAGTACATTTGTCATAATTTGGTTTTAATCCAGAGAGGTTAGAAAATGTATCTAGATCCTCTATGAGGCTGTGGAGGGATTCTAGTTGTGGATCTAAAAGAAAACATGAATCATCTGCGTACAATGACACCTTTGTTTTTAAGCCCTGTATTTCTAATCCCCTGATATTATTATTGGATCTGATTTTAATAGCTAACATCTCGATGGCCACAATAAATAGATATGCCGATAGTGGACAACCTTGTTTCACTCCTCTTGATAGTTTAAAATTTTCTGAGAAATAGCCATTATTTACTATTTTACACCTAGGGTTACTATACATGATTTTGACCCATTTTATAAGAGATTCTCCAAAATTGAAATGCTCCAGGCATTTATATATAAATTCCAGTCGAACTTTATCAAATGCCTTTTCGAAGTCTGCTATGAATAGCAGGCCTGGTTTCCCATATTTTCCATAGTGTTCTATTGTTTCCAATACTTGCCTTATATTATCTCCAATGTATCTTCCATGTAAAAAACCTGTCTGATTAGAATGAATAATATCCGACAATACCTTTTTAATTCTATGCGCTATACATTTTGCTAGGATTTATTGGGTGTGTCTTGCTAATTGCCCATAATTTCCACCTGTTGTCTATTCCATTTACAGCATGTGAAATGTATTGTCAATCAGTGTTGCTTCCTAAGTGGACAGTTTGATTTCACAGAAGTGTGATTGACTTGGAGTTACATTGTGTTGTTTAAGTGTTCCCTTTATTTTTTTGAGCAGTGTATATATATACAGTGGGGAAAAAAAGTATTTAGTCAGCCACCAATTGTGCAAGTTCTCCCACTTTAAAAGATGAGAGAGGCCTGTAATTTTCATCATAGGTACACGTCAACTATGACAGACAAATTGAGAAAAACAAAATCCAGAAAATCACATTGTAGCAATTTTAATGAATTTATTTGCAAATTATGGTGGAAAATAAGTATTTGGTCAATAACAAAAGTTTCTCAATACTTTGTTATATACCCTTTGTTGGCAATGACACAGGTCAAACGTTTTCTGTAAGTCTTCACAAGGTTTTCACACACTGTTGCTGGTATTTTGGCCCATTCCTCCATGCAGATCTCCTCTAGAGCAGAGATGTTTTGGGGCTGTCGCAGGGCAACACAGACTTTAAACTCCCTCCAAAGATTTTCTATGAGGTTGAGATCTGTAGACTGGCTAGGCCACTCCAGGACCTTGAAATGCTTCTTACGAAGCCACTCCTTCGTTGCCCGGGCGGTATGTTTGGGATCATTGTCATGCTGAAAAACCCAGCTACGTTTCATCTTCAATGCCCTTGCTGATGGAAGGAGGTTTTCACTCAAAATCTCACGATACATGGCCCCATTCATTCTTTCCTTTACACGGATCAGTCGTCCTGGTCCCTTTGCAGAAAAACAGCCCCAAAGCATGATGTTTCCACCCCCATGCTTCACAGTAGGTATGGTGTTCTTTGGATGCAACTCAGCATTCTTTGTCCTCCAAACACGACGAGTTGAGTTTTTACCAAAAAGTTCTATTTTGGTTTCATCTGACCATATGACATTCTCCCAATCCTCTTCTGGATCATCCAAATGCACTCTAGCAAACTTCAGACGGGCCTGGACATGTACTGTCTTAAGCAGGGGGACACGTCTGGCACAGCAGGATTTGAGTCCCTGGCGGCGTAGCGTGTTACTGATGGTAGGCTTTGTTACTTTGGTCCCAGCTCTCTGCAGGTCATTCACTAGGTCCCCCTGTGTGGTTCTGGGATTTTTGCTCACCGTTCTTGTGATCATTTTGACCCCACGGGGTGAGATCTTGCGTGGAGCCCCAGATCGAGGGAGATTATCAGTGGTCTTGTATGTCTTCCATTTCCTAATAATTGCTCCCACAGTTGATTTCTTCAAACCAAGCTGCTTACCTATTGCAGATTCAGTCTTCCCAGCCTGGTGCAGGTCTACAATTTTGTTTCTGGTGTCCTTTGACAGCTCTTTGGTCTTTGCCATAGTGGAGTTTGGAGTGTGACTGTTTGGGGTTGTGGACAGGTGTCTTTTATACTGATAACAAGTTCAAACAGGTGCCATTAATACAGGTAACGAGTGGAGGACAGAGGAGCCTCTTAAAGAAGAAGTTACAGGTCTGTGAGAGCCAGAAATCTTGCTTGTTTGTAGGTGACCAAATACTTATTTTCCACCATAATTTGCAAATAAATTCATTAAAAATCCTACAATGTGATTTTCTAGAAAAAAAATTCTCAACCTGTATTAATGGCACCTGTTTGAACTTGTTATCAGTATAAAAGACACCTGTCCACAACCTCAAACAGTCACACTCCAAACTCCACTATGGCCAAGACCAATGAGCTGTCAAAGGACACCAGAAACAAAATTGTAGACCTGCACCAGGCTGGGAAGACTGAATCTGCAATAGGTAAGCAGCTTGGTTTGAAGAAATCAACTGTGGGAGCAATTATTAGGAAATGGAAGACATACAAGACCACTGATAATCTCCCTCGATCTAAGGCTCCACGCAAGATCTCACCCCGTGGGGTCAAAATGATGAGCAAAAATCCCAGAACCACACGGGGGGACCTAGTGAATGACCTGCAGAGAGCTGGGACCAAAGTAACAATGCCTACCATCAGTAACACACTACGCCGCCAGGGACTCAAATCCTGCAGTGCCAGACGTGTCCCCTTGCTTAATCCAGTACATGTCCAGGCCCGTCTGAAGTTTGCTAGAGTGCATTTGGATGATTCAGAAGAGGATTGGGAGAATGCCATATGGTCAGATGAAACCAAAATATAACTTTTTGGTAAAAACTCAACTCGTCGTGTTTGGAGGACAAAGAATGCTGAGTTGCATCCAAAGAACACCATACCTACTGTGAAGCATGGGGGTGAAAACATCAATATCTAACCAAATGAGAAAAGGAGCCTCACAAAATAACACTGGCGTTGCCTCGTAGTCATTTGAGCTATGGCAGCTCCACCAATCAATCACAATTAAAGTGTGTGGGAGTCCTAAACTGTCATGGATGCAATGTCTTCTCTAAATCATGTCTTCCTCTGTGCTGCGTTTAGTGCCAACATTGTCTTCATTGTGCCGCAGTTATTTTCAGTTTTTAATGAGTGAAATTGCAGCGTGCTAATTAATTTGCCTATAACGATGGCATTGTCTTTACTTTGACTGTGTAAAGAGAAAATGAAGAGAGAGAGAGACAGAGAGGAGAGCAGAAAAGATAACACTGGCTTGCCTCCGTTCAGGGGAAGAGCTGGAAGACAGAGAGGAGGAGAAACTCTGTCACTGAACGAGTGCTGGAGCAGGAGCGAGTAAGTGAGTGAAGAAGTGAGAAAGAGGAGGAGAGGAAACTGTCCTGAACAAGGGGAATGGTAGATGTGTTGAGTTCCAGTGATGGAATCTGTGTGTTGCTGCTGCTGTGTGATGATGATGATGATGATGTGTGTCTAGAGTGGAGGGTGGATAAAACTCTTTGAAGCTATGAAAAGGGGGCTGGAGCTGTGGGGGTTGGACAAATGTGACACCCCTTGAGACTCTTTAGAACAATAAGGAGCTGTCTTTCCCCTGAGAAGGGGAGGGGGGTTGTGAGGGCATGGTGTGTGTTTGGTGGTGGTGGGGAGGGAGAGTGGCTGCTTGTCTTGCTGAGACTGGGGGGGGGGGGGGGGGGGCTGGGCTGGTGCTTCGAGAGTGCAGGGCTTTCCCAGAGAGACCAATGCTCCCATGCTGGGGTGTGTGTGTGTTTGTGTGTCTCTCTCTCTCTCTCTCTGTGTGTGTGTGTGTGTGTGTGTGTTTGCGTATGACTGCATGTGCGTGTATGAGGGGGGGGGGGGGGGGGGGGGGGGGGTCCTAAGGGGGTGGGGGGCAGAGATCTGCCATAGGAATGGCTAGTGAAGAGAGGACAGATAAGGGAGGAGAGGGGGGGACTAGCCCCTGTTGCACCCACCTGATTCTTCTCCAGTTTGACAGCTTTATCCGAACACACTGTCAGCTGGCACACCCCATGCCGAGCCTGCCCCACTGCCTTCCTGTGAATTATTGAACAGACTGAAAGAAAAAAAGAGAGAGAAAGAGAGAGAGAGAAAGAGGGGGGACACTGCACCATTCCTCAACATCCAGACAGACAGACAGACATACAGACACAAACGCACACATCTAGATGTACTCACACATTCACTCTTAATCGTGATCACACACAATTGAACAATGACATGTGCGAAGAGAAATGAAAATTCCAATAAAAAAACATGTATACACACAGACGCACACACACATACACAGATGCACTGGACATGACCAACCCACAAAACAATTCACAGGGGTCAGCCTGCACATTGCACATTAGAGCATTGCTCAGTTGAGCGTGTGCTAATGCTGCTGCCTCCTTTGTGCCTGTATACATGTCCACTGAGAAGCTCTATCCCCTCTCTGTCTCATAGGGGGCGCTAATAGGCTATATCCGCCTGCCTGCCCATGTTCCGTGCCTTGGCGCTGGCTTTGTCAGAGTCTCTGGTGTTTATTCCTGTGTGCCTGTAGGGCATGGGGAGGATTGGCACATCTATAAAGATATGCCCCCCTCCCTTTGCATGGCACACACTTCCTCTCTTCTCTCTCTTTGTGTCTGAGAGTCAGGAAGAGATTGTGTGTTGGTTACGGATTGCATCAGATGCTGAGGGAGAAAGAGAGAGCGAGGGAGTGAGAGAGAGAGAGGGAGAAAGAGAAACAGAGCGAGGGAGTGAGAGAGAGAGAGGAAGAGACAGAGAAGGGAGAGAGCGAAAGGGAGAGAGAGATGGAGATAGAGGGATGGAGAGAGAGATATCTGTGGAGAGTTAAAATATATATATATAAATGAAGCATTACCAGAGACAGCTGAATGATTGGAGTGTATTGAAGTCTCAGGCAGCCAGGCTTCTCCTCCTCTCCTAGACTCTATGCATGCTAAACATAGACATTTATTCAGCTGCACTACCTTCATTCCATATGGTGATATGCATACAGACACTTTACAGTTTGTTCACGATTCAGTGGTGAGGGGCAAAGTTATTCTCTGGTCCTCTCAACTCACTGTCTGTTTCTGTTTGCCAGACAAAGAATTCCCCTTTTTAGGTACTGTACAATGTGGGTTTTGTAGTGTGTAAGATAATGTATTTTTCTTTGCATACCAACACTGCAAATGTGTGTATGAATATTGGTGTGTGTGTATGTGTATGTGTATGAGTATGTGTGTGTGTGTGTGCATTTGCATGCATGTGTTTTTACAGTGTGTGTGTGCATGCATGTGTGATGCTCCTGGCGTAACGCTGTCTGGATGGCTTCCCTCGCTCCCCTCTCCCCTCGGCCAGGAGGGAGCCAATGACATTGAGACATTAGCCATCTCCCTGGCAACGGACATTTGCTGTCAGGCTATATCACAAGGTCACACCGCTACCTCAGGAAAGTAAAAAAACGGAGAACTCTCTCCCTCCCCTTCTCTTCCCCCCTTTCTCCTCTCCCTCTCCCCTCCGTCCTCCCCTTTCCCAAAGCTGTCTCTCCCAGCTCTCTCCCTCCCCTCTCTCCCACATCCTTCCTCCCCCTCCCCATCCAGAGAGATTCATCTCAGAGTGGCATGTTAATTGTTTCCGATTGCGTGTGGCTGAGAGGATGGAACAGATCACTGGCAGTTCATTCTGCTGGCTTGACTGCCTCAGTGATTGTGGCACACTGCTAAGGGGTGAGGAGGACTCTGAGCTAAGCCTGGCGTGTGTTTGTGTGTGTGCGCTTGAGTGTGTGTGTGCATGTGCACGTGTGTGTGTAGGGCTCCCGGTGCAGCGCAGGCGTGTGCATCCAGTGGTTTTCGTGGTGACAGACTCGTACACGCTTAGAAAAAAATCTACAAACTAAAAGGGTTCTTAAGCTGGCCCCATAGGACAGTGGTCATCAACCTTTTCTGAGTCAAGATCACTTTCTGAGTCCAAAAGCATACAGTGAGGGAAAAAAGTATTTGATCCCCTGCTGATTTTGTACGTTTGCCCACTGACAAAGACATGATCAGTGTATAATTTTAATGGTAGGTTTATTTGAACAGTGAGAGACAGAACAACAAAAACAAAATCCAGAAAAACGCATGTCAAAAATGGGAAATAAGTATCTCAATCAGAAAGATTTCTGGCTCCCAGGTGTCTTTTATACAGGTAACGAGCTGAGATTAGGAGCACACTCTTAAAGGGAGTGCTCCTAATCTCAGTTTGTTACCTGTATAAAATACACCTGTCCACAGAAGCAATCAATCAATCAGATTCCAAACTCTCCACCATGGCCAAGACCAAAGAGCTCTCCAAGGATGTCAGGGACAAGATTGTAGACCTACACAAGGCTGGAATGGGCTACAAGACCATCGCCAAGCAGCTTGGTGAGAAGTTGACAACAGTTGGTGCGATTATTCGCAAATGGAAGAAACACAAAAGACCTGTCAATCTCCCTCGGCCTGGGGCTCCATGCAAGATCTCACCTCGTGGAGTTGCAATGATCATGAGAACGGTGAGGAATCAGCCCAGAACTACACGGTAGGATCTTGTCAATAATCTCAAGGCAGCTGGGACCATAGTCACCAAGAAAACAATTGGTAACACACTAAGCCGTGAAGGAATGAAATCCTGCAGCACCCGCAAGGTCCCCCCTGCTCAAGAAAGCACATATACAGGCCCGTCTGAAGTTTGCCAATGAACATCTGAATGATTCAGAGGAGAACTGGGTGAAAGTGTTGTGGTCAGATGAGACCAAAATCGAGCTCTTTGGCATCAACTCAACTCGCCGTGTTTGGAGGAGGAGGAATGCTGCCTATGATCCCAAGAACACCATCCCCACCGTCAAAGATGGAGGTGGAAACATTATGCTTTGGGGGTGTTTTTCTGCTAAGGGGACAGGACAACTTCACCGCATCAAAGGGACGATGGACGGGGCCATGTACCGTCAAACACACGGCCAAGGCAACGAAGGAGTGGCTCAAGAAGAAGCACATTAAGGTCCTGGAGTGGCCTAGCCAGTCTCCAGACCTTAATCCCAAAGAAAATCTGTGGAGGGAGCTGAAGGTTCGAGTTGCCAAACGTCAGCCTCGAAACCTTAATGACTTGGAGAAGATCTGCAAAGAAGAGTGGGACAAAATCCCTCCTGAGATGTGTGCAAACCTGGTGGCCAACTACAAGAAACGTCAGACCTCTGTGATTGCCAACAAGGGTTTTGCCACCAAGTACTAAGTCATGTTTTGCAGAGGGGTCAAATACTTATTTCCCTCATTAATATGCAAATAAATGTATAACATTTTTTACATGCGTTTTTCAGGATTTTTTGTTGTTGTTATTCTGTCTCTCACTGTTCAAATAAACCTACCATTAAAATTATAGACTGATCATGTCTTTGTCAGTGGGCAAACGTACAAAATCAGCAGGGGATCAAATACTTTTTTCCCTCACTGTATATATATATTTTTTTACATAACTTAAAAAACATAAGCCTATGCAACATTAACATAGTCCCAATACATTATCACTGCATATTGGCTATGCTTGAACTGCCCTGCCAATGTTGTTCTTCTCAGACCATTTTGAAATTATATTTTAGGTAAATGATCACACTGGTACTAAATAATTTGTTTTATTACTTGTGAGGCACAGCTGAACGTGCAAAATAATTTGCTTTTTTAAATTTTACTGGACTGATGCCCTGGATCTAATGGTCAGCCTGAGGGAGGGAGGGAGGGAGGGAGAGAGCAGCGGTGAAGCTGCCTCTCACCCAAATCACCGTCCCTCTGCTCTCCCTCCCTCCATTGAGAAAAGGGGACACAGTCTTCAAGTTGATGGTGAAACTCAAGTCGCACTGCATTATTTCTGCCTCATGCACTAATTCATGTTGTTACTCCTATGACCAGAGAAAGTGAAATATTCCTTGATATTAAAAAAGACACAAGCCGCTAATAACAACAACTCAAGCTTATCGAAACACTTTGCTATACTCATTCATTTCAGCTGCAGTGCTGGTTGTAGTGTGAGTGGAAGTACGGAGAATGCACATTTTATGGCTTATAAAAGTTTTGAACAAAGTGTTGACAGTGCTGAATAACAACTTAAACATGAACTTACTTATAAAACAGCAGCTCTTTGCTGTATTCATTTAGTCTCTCAGGGTTTTAAAAGTTTTGAAATCTCACAGTATCAACTTTGCTGTTCACTTGAGACTTCTTTGTACAGCCTATGGATCGAGGAAACTGTGCAGACATGGTGATCCAAGCTATATTTGCTCTCTGGGCCTGCCGGGTATGCGGAGTTCTACCTTCAGACACATGAAATGGTTCAAAATGGGAAGACTTTGCCTTCCCGGTGCTAGGGCTGCTGAATCAAGTGCACCTACCGGCAACAGTGCTAAACATACAAACACAAATAGGAACGCAAAGCTTTATCGTTGTTGTTTTTTACAGAAATGTTTGGTGATCGACTAGGAATGCCTTGGAGATCGCAATCGACTGGTTGGTGACCACTGCCATATGAGAACCCTTTGAAGGGGGCTCTACTTGGAACCTAAAAGGGATCTACCTGGAACCAAAAAGGATTGTACCTAGAACCAAAAAGGGTTCTCCTATGGGGACAGCAGAAGAACCCTTTTGGAACCTTTTATTCTAAGTGTAGGGTAGGGTTGGGTGGATCAGTCACTTCACACAAAGTTTCCCTCCTTTTTAGTGACAGGCTCTCTTCGTGGGATACTGCTCAGTTTAGCCCCCTTTCAAGTGGAAGATGACTGAAGAGCATGGACAGAAAGAAGCAGAGATCACACTATGCCTTTTTCTGCCAGTGATTCAACAACCAGCATGTTACATACTGCTGCTTAGAAATGCTAGTAATGGCCTCTGCATTTGCTCTTAATTTCTCTTCATTTGTATGTGATCAGGTTAATTCATTGTGGTTCACATCAGAATTGTAAAGGATAGGATGAATGTATCATAGAAAACACACACTGATTTATTTCTCAGAGAGGATCATGCCTCATCAATTTACCACTGAGTGACTCAATGCACCATGATGACTCACAGACATATTACTGTTCAACTGAAGAACAACACTACTGGGGAATGTAATAATACCAGATGTCGTGACCTGTGATCATGCTAGACTTGTTTTTGACACCATCAGGTTTGGGATCAGAATTGTTTCAATTCTAGCAGAAATTCTGGTTGAAATTCTTACATGCAAAATGTGGACAAAATTTGAAGTATTTTCCTATCTCACACGTAATCTTTTCCCCTATCGCGCCCTCATTGTCACATGATGTGGCCCCTAGCTGCCCACCTCCCCACCTCCACCACCACACTCTCAATCCTTTAATAGGCTCATTTATTGAGTGACAAAAAGCAGAGGGAAACATTTCCTTTATCCTCAGTGATTCCAATAGCGTCAGTAAACACCTCAGTCACTGAGGAGAGAGAGGGGATCAATAGAAATAAAGATGATATATCACACCAGCACAGCAGCCACCGCATCCTCCTTTCATAGCTATGCTCTCCAATGTGTACAGTTGAAGTCGGAAGTTTACATACACTTAGGTTGGAGTCATTAAAACTCGTATTTCAACCACTCCACACGTTTTTTGTTAACAAACTATCGTTTTGGCAAGTCGGTTAGGACATCTACTTTGTGAATGACACAAGTCATTTTTCCAACAATTGTTTACAGACAGATTATTTCACTTATAATTCACTGTATCGCAATTCCAGTGGTCAGAAGTTTACATACACTAAGTTGACTGTGCCTTTAAACAGCTTGGAAAATTCCAGAAAATTATGTAATGGCTTTAGAAGCTTCTGATAGGCTAATTGACATAATTTGAGTCAATTGGAAGTGTACCTGTGGATGTATTTCAAGGCCTACCTTCAAACTCAGTGCCTCTTTGCTTGACATCATGGGAAAATCAAAAGAAATCAGCCAAGACCTTAGAAAACAAATTGTAGACCTCCACAAGTCTGGTTCATCCTTGGGAGCAATTTCCAAACGCCTGAAGGTACCACGTTCATCTGTACAAACAATAGTACGCAAGTATAAACACCATGGGACCACGCAGCCGTCATACCGCTCAGAAAGGAGATGCGTTCTGTCTCCTAGAGATGAACGTACTTTGGTGGAAAAGTGCAAATAAATCCCAGAACAACAGCAAAGGACCTTGTGAAGATGCTGGAGGAAACGGGTACAAAATGATCTATATCCACAGTTAAACTAGTCCTATATTGACATAACCTGAAAGGCCGCTCAGCAAGGAAGAAGCCACTGCTCCAAAACCGCCATAAAAAAGCCAGACTACAGTTTGCAACTGCACATGGGGACAAAGATCGTACTTTTTGGAGAAATGTCCTCTGGTCTGATGAAACAAAAATATAACTGTTTGGCCATAATGAGCATTGTTATGTTTGGAGGAAAAAGGGGTAGAATTGCAAGCCGAAGAACACCATCCCAACCGTGAAGCACGGGGGTGGCAGCATCATGCTGTGGGGGTGCTTTGCTGCAGGAGGGACTGGTGCACTTCACAAAATAGATGGGATCATGAGGAAGGGAAATTATGTGGATATATTGAAGTAACATCTCAAGACATCAGTCAGGAAGTTAAAGCTTGGTCGCAAATGGGTCTTCCAAATGGACAATGACCCCAAGCATACTTCCAAAGTTGTGGCAAAATGGCTTAAGGACAACAAAGTCAAGGTATTGGAGTGGCCATCACAAAGCCCTGACCTCAATCCTACAGAAAATGTGTGGGCAGAACTCAAAAAGTGTGTGCGCGCAAGGTGGCCTACAAACCTGACTCAGTTACACCAGCTCTGTCAGGAGGAATGGGCCAAAATTCACCCACCTTATTGTGGGAAGCTTGTGGAAAGCTACCTGAAACGTTTGACCCAAGTTAAACAATTTAAAGGCAATGCTACCAAATACTAATTGAGTGTATGTAAACTTCTGTCCCACTGGGAATGTGATGAAAGAAATAAAAAGCTGAAATAAATCATTCTCCCTACTATTATTCTAACATTTCGCATTCTTAAAATAAAGTGGTGATCCTAACTGACCTAAAACAGGGAATATTTACTAGGATTAAATGTCAGGAATTGTGAAAAACTGAGTTTAAATGTATTTGGCTATGGTGTATGTAAACTTCTGACTTCAACTGTAGGTAAATTCTGTCTAGCTTGCTAATATCTGTTGACTGTAGGCTATTTACCATCTACAGAGACTTTCCTTAAGCCCCTGGTTCCTGTATTATATTAAATACAGCATATGATAATGTACGTCATTCCAGTTTGCACACTGTCTATCTACAACACTGACCACTAAAAACACTCAAATAAAATAGTAATGAGCATTATTTCCACTTGATATCAATGTGTGCTAGTCTGGGTGCCAGTCTTTTTAGCTAACATTTCACTCCTTGCCACTCCTGTCATTTGTCAAATGACAAGACTGGCAAGGAGTGGAATGTAATTGCTAGCTGAACAGAGATGGTAACCAGGCTAAATGTGTGGTGCTTTTGTTTGATCTTTTAAAAGGACACTGGTGTGTGTAGAGTGTATGTACATGACATGTACAACTAATGTGTCCTTGAACCAGGAGTCACCTCATTCGACAGCAGCAGCAGCAGTAGCAGCAGCAGCCATATAAATGGCTCTCTGTGTGTTCAAGTGCTAACATTGTGCTAGCTAGCAGCAAAACAGGCTAAGACCACCCACCAGGCAGCCAATGAATTATGCAGAAGGCTGGGTGGCTGCATTCTCCTGATTTCCTGGTTAATATGAGAGGTGTTGGGAAGGGATGGGATGGGAAAGGTAACAGAGGGCCTTCCTATTGGTCATTGTCACTTTACAAGCCAAAGTCGGGTCAGTCAAGTGGTGGAACTGATTAGTGGGGATCATTGGCTGGAGATTCACATTTCGCTAGTCAGTATAAATCCACATGGTGTGCTTAATATGCATATGAGTGTGGATAATGAAATCTAGCAAGAACACAATCTCATTACTCTCCCCTATATTATTATCTCTCTCTCTCTCTCGCTCTAGTTACATAAAGTCTACCTGTGTGCAATCTAAGTGTCACATGATCTGTCACATGATCTCAGTATATATACACCTGTTCTGAAAGGCCGCAGAATCTGCAACACCACTAAGCAAGGGGCACCACCAAGCAAGCGGCACCATGAAGACCAAGCAGCTCTCCAAACAGGTCAGGGACAAAGTTGTGGAGAAGTACAGATCAGGGTTGGGTTATAAAAAAATATCCGAAACTTTGAACATCCCACGGAGCACCATAAAATCCATTATTAAAAAATGGAACGAATATGGCACCACAACAAACCTGCCAAGAGAGGGCCGCCCACCAAAACTCACGGACCAGGCAAGGAGGGCATTAATCAGAGAGGCAACAAAGAGACAAAAGACAACCCTGAAGGAGCTGCAAAGCTCCACAGCGGAGATTGGAGTATCTGTCCATAGGACCACTTTAAGCCATACACTCCACAGAGCTGGGTTTTACAGAAGAGTGGCCAGAAAAAAGCCATTGTTTAAAGACAAAAATAAGCAAACACGTTTGGTGTTCGCCAAAAGGCATGTGGGAGACTCCCCAAACATATGGAAGAAGGTACTCTGGTCAGATGAGACTAAAATTAAGCTTTTTGGCCATCAAGGAAAATGCTATGTCTGGCACAAACCCAACACCTCTCATCACCCCGAGAACACCATCCCCACAGTGAAGCATGGTGGTGGGAGCATCATGCTGTGGGGATGTTTTTCATCAGCAGGGACTGGGAAACTGGTCAGAATTGAAGGAATGATGGATGGCGCTAAATACAGGGAAATTCTTGAGGGAAACCTGTTTCAGTCTTCCAGAGATTTGAGACAGGGACGGAGGTTCACCTTCCAGCAGGACTGCCATATGAGAACCCTTTGACTGCCAATGACCATAAGCATACTGCTAAAGCAACACTTGAGTGGTTTAAGGGGAAACATTTAAATGACTTGGAATGGCCTAGTCAAAGCCCAGACCTCAATCCAATTGAGAATCTGTCGTATTACTTAAAGATTGCTGTACACCAGCGGAACCTATCCAATTTGAAGGAGCTGGAGCAGTTTTGCTTTGAAGAATGGGCAAAAATCCCAGTGGCTAGATGTGCCAAGCTTATAGAGACATACCCCAAGAGACTTGCATATTGTGTAAATCAAATGATTCAAACCCCCAAAAAATCCATTTTAATTCCAGGTTGTAAGGCAACAAAATAGGAAAAATGCCAAGGGGGGTGAATACTTCCGCAAGCCACTGTATATGGGTCATTCCACGAATTCGCTGCCTTTTGAGAGGTGTAACCTAATTTTAACATTTTGTCATAAAGAGCACAACTTCATAAAAAACAGGTTTTCCCATCACAAGAGGTTAAATAATAATTACTGTAGTAAGTGCCTATTAAGTGCCAAATAAAGTAACAGGGTTGACCAGAACAGGGTTGACGAGTTCACCTTAAATCAAATCAAATTTAATTTGTCAAATGTGCCGAATACAACGGGTTTAGATGTTACCGTGAAATGCTTGCTTACGAGCCCTTCCTAACAATGCAGAGTTAAACATTTTCTTTTTTTAAGTAACACAAAAGGAATAAAATACAATCAGCAATTAATCCCCTTGTGACAGGGGGAATGGAAGCTTGTTGTGTGCAACAGGGTGTGGGAATTAAATGCAACCTTCACCCAAACATTTAAATTGTTAAAACATTTCTAGCCTGTCTATCTATGGGTAACAGAGTTTACGTGTTATGCTCGACCCACTCAGTTTTCCACCACAGAACACCAGAAAATGGCCAGCTCACCTGCTTTTACACTAGATTTGACTATTAGATGTGCAATGTTTCTTTTGAAAATATATTTTAAAAGGAATAGTTTCATCATATTAAAACAAGAGTTCAGTTTACGTAACAGGGTTGGCCTTAAAATGAGTGACAGACGTATGTGAATCACTTATCAACATGAAATAAATAATTTTCACAATATACTTTCTCAAAGCAACAAAATAACTAGGGCTTTACAATGATGGTGAAAACTAGGAGAACTCTTGGGGTTAAGTGGGTTAAAATCTAGAAGTCACAGATGGTGCAGTATCTTGGCACTTTAGCAAGTCTCTATTCATATTAAAAATCAGATTGATTTAATTCTCCATGTGGTCTATATTAAAGGGCACTTCATTTAATATAACAGGCTTTTAAAAGTCAATATTGGTGCACAATTTCTACTTAAAATATCAAAGGGATTCAAAAGGCACTCATTTCGTGGAACGACCCAGATGAAGTGGCTGTGTATGGGTCCTGTCCTGCTCTGCAGTGTCTGAATGATTTGAGCATAAAAGCATTAATTGTGCTCACTACCAAGCCATTAAACCTGGCTGTGATATCAGCTTTAAGTGCGGAGGAATCTGAGAGTGTGTGGCGTTGAATTATTCACCTCTCCCTCTCCTCTTTCTCTCCTTCTCTCTCTCCCCCTTTTCTCACTAGCTCACCTGTTCTCTCCTCTCTCTAGCGCTCTCTTTCTCTCCTTGCGGCTCTCACTCCCGCTCCGCTCTCTCTACCTCCCTCTCTCTACCTCCCTCTCTCTACCTCCAGTGCTGTCAGCCCAAGGGCTAGGCTCCACCATCACTCCTGTTCATTTATTAATACCCGGCTTATACAGCACAAAGCACATCTCCGCCTAGCCTGCCTTCCTGCCTGCCTGCCACTGATCATCGTATGGCACACGGCACTGCGTAAGCACCCCCTAGAAAGCAGGCAGGGAACCCAGTGTCCACGCACACTGACACACACACGCTTACTCTGCAGGAAAATGCCCTTTGGAAAGGACAGGCTGCATCAATCTCACGGTTATAAGATCCTCTAGTTTTGTAGTTGCTCTGGTGGTCAGTCAAGTGCCATTTTGATCTTGTCGGTCTGTTGTTGCTTGAAATGGAGCAAAGCATTATCTTATGATTGTTGTGATTACATGCATTGTCATTATTGTTATCATGCCCCATATTGTGGAAGTATTTGGTACAGTATAACCACTGTATGTGCACCAGTAGATTTACCAAGATTTACCAAGCGCAGTTAGCCAGTCTGTCTGGGTTGTAGACTTTCAGCTCACGTCCCACTGCCACGCTGCCACGCTGTTGAAATATGAAAAGACTCAGCCAGTGTTCTGACTGCTGGATGTTTCACTTCCTCAGTAGAGACGAGGAGGGAGGAGAAAAGCCAGCTAGTTAGCTGGCCGGTGATTTTTTGGTCTGAACATTTTTCATGGAAATGTCCCGCTCTCTCCTGCTTTGGCTGTGGTCAGGAGAAAGGGTCATGGGGGAGTCATGGAAAGGACTAATGTGTGTTTTCATAGGCAGCCCTTGTAAAAAACGAGCAGGCCAGGAGATTTTATCCTGCTTGAGTATAAACAGGGGGGTTGACTGTTGAGTAAACAGAATTACCAACGTGAAGAGGAAATTGCGGGCGCTGCTTACACAGACTTATTAAACGTGTGTAGAGGCAGTGGAATTGGAGACACTCCAGAGGTGATAGAAAGTGTATGAGAGGAGAATTGTCAAAGTTATAGAGTCTATAGTCCCATGTGGCTCAGTTGGTAGAGCATGGCGCTTGCAATGCCAGGGTTTGATTACCAAAGGGGACCAGAATGAAAAAATACAAAAATGCACTTAGGATAAGAGTGTGTCTAAGATGTAGATTGTATTTATGATTGGTTGATAAAGTGTTTATTTTCAGTATGTAAAACTAAGGGGAACAATAAAAACAGAGGACTATTTTGTCTTAAGTATTTTTCATTTGGCCTCCTAGCAAATAGAAATCTGAAAACTAGAGCTGACAATTTAGAAGAAGTTTAGCAAACCCTCCAAACATTCTTACTGTCATTCTTACATTATACTGTTCCCTACAGTAGGATAAGTATTGTACCCATACTGCATTATGTTGTACAGGACTGTATCCCAAACGCCTGTGAGCTGTTGCCCACTCATATGGATGGGTTCACACTGGTCAGTGATGCACAGTCACCATAGGGAGGCAGCATCAGACAACAAAGCATGCTTTTCATACAGTAGGCCCAAGGTTGGGCCCAATTGGGCTGTGTGTGTATGTGTGTGTGTGTGTGTGTGTGTGTGTGTGTGTGTGTGTGTGTGTGTGTGTGTGTGTGTGTGTGTGTGTGTGTGTGTGTGTTTTTCAGTGTGTGTGTGCTGTGTGTGTGTGTGTGTGTGTGTGTGTTGTTGGCGGGCTGGACTGAACTCTTGACATCCAGGCTCTGTCGCAGCCGGCCGCGACCGGGAGACTCATGGGCGGCGCACAATTGGCCCAGCGTCGTCCAGGATAGGGGAGGGAATGGCCGGCAGGGATGTAGCTCAGTTGATAGAGCATGGCGTTTGCAACGCCAGGGTTGTGGGTTCGATTCCCACGGGGGGGCAGTATTAAAAAAATATGTATTCACTAACTATAAGTCGCTCTGGATAAGAGCGTCTGCTAAATGACTAAAATGTAAAATGTAAATGTTGACTACAGACTGTCCCCCGAAGGTGCCCCTCACGGTTTAAATAGCTCTTTATATGGCATTAAGTGAGGGGGTGGAGGGGGAGAGACATTGAAAATATATTTTTTCAGACTCATCTGCTGTAGAGATCTAAATGATTGAGATGGGAGGTGTATTACTATAGAAGAGAGGCCAGTGTGAGTTTCTTGGCCTGATGCAGCAATGGGAACATCAGGAAGTGTGTGTGTGTGTGGTGTGTGTGTGTGCCTCAGTGTGTGTGAGTCTGGATAGCAGTACTGGAACCGCCTGCTGTTATGACGCTATGTTTTTCTTGGTGAGCGTGAGGAATGTTTATATAGGAGAGAAACTGGCCTCTCTCCCCAATCGCTCAGCGCCATCTTCAGGTCACATCAACAGTGAATAACATTACTGTAACAAGATACAATACCTTTTGGCTCCCCGAGATATTGTCCTTAATTCTATTCCAAAATAGCCTGTGTGTGGCTTTGGTATCGGACACTGTATTGAATTGATGATCCATTACGGCACTAACATAGGCCAGTTTCCTCTGGGTACAGAGATATTGCATAGGCACTGGCAGCGGGGTAATCACATGGAGGTTACATGCTGGGTTTATTGTCTGTTGATGTATAAATATGGCTAGCCAGGCGATGGGGTTTATAGATAAAAAATGTACATTAATGGATCAATCTCGTGGTTAATGATGTCCAGCCCACCCTCAGATATACAGTAGATCGCAGTAATGGGTTAGCTATTACACATGTGTGATAAAGGAAAGACCACCGTGATAAACTGCACCCAGGAAGCATAGTAAAGAGTAGAGGCCATACATAAAGATTACTATAATCAATCATAGGGAAATTAGGATTTATCCCCACAATAAGGACCTATATGTTGGAAGATTAATGATAAGCCTATATGCTTTTATGAAAAGCCAAGGTTTTTAAAAGACAAATTATACAGTTTTTTTCTTACCTACTGTATGTAGAAATCTGTAAGTCACATTTGACTAATTTGTAGTTTCCGTGTATTTCAGTTACCCTAGTTATCAAGTAACTACATGCTATAACAGCAACATATTGGAAAGTATTGCCAGAAATGTTGAAATCTGTTCACTACGCTTTAACCCCAAAGATCTCTGGCCAACAACTTTGCCATGTTACTTGATTGTACTTGACAGCTCCGAGCTGGCTACCCTCCAGAGTCTCTATGCTGTAGGCCTATGACTGATGTTGTCTCTGTGTGGTCTCTGTCTCTACAGTGAGCACCTGTCGTGCTCCTTCACCTTCTTCCTGCATGGGGAGAGTAATGTGTGCACCAGCGTAGAAGTTGCCCAGCACCAGCCTGCCTACCACATCACTGACGACCACACCTACCTGGCCCAGATCTCCTCAGCCCCCGTACAAGGTGAGACACTCAGGGAGGCCAGAGAGACATAGGAGCCCACCGACCACTGGATGTCTTTACCCGCCTCTGTTTTAGCCTGAGCATCACTGTCATAACTATGTGTAATCAAATCTCTGAAACTGAACATGACAATGGTCCTTTCTGATATATTGCGCCTCTGTAGTCCTCTCTCTCTGTCTGTCTGTCTGTCTGTCTGTCTGTCTGTCTGTCTGTCTGTCTGTCTGTCTGTCTGTCTGTCTGTCTGTCTGTCTGTCTGTCTGTCTGTCTGTCTGTCTGTCTGTCTGTCTGTCTGTCTGTCTGTCTGTCTGTCTGTCTGTCTGTCTGTCTGTCTGTCTGTCTGTCTGTCTGTCTGTCTGTCTCTCTGTTCTGTCTATCTACCTATCTATGTGTCTGTCCTCACATCTGGATGTCCATCTACCTGACTCTCTGTCTGTCTGTCCATCCCTCTAACCGTTACCTCTGTAGTGATCTTGAGTCCGTACGGTCTGGCGGGCTCCCTGACGGGCCAGGCCTATAAGATGAGTGACCCAGCTGTAAGAAAACTGATGGAGGAGTGGAGCTACTTCTACCCCATGGTGCTGCAGCGCCACAGAGAAGGGGGCACAGGGGGCGCAGGCACGGGGGGCATGGGCGCCGAGAGGGAGGGCACTGACCGACCATATGACCCACACAGCCATGTGGCCGTCGAGGTCATCGTAGGTGAGTACGGTGACGCTCAAAAAACTCTTGCCACCTTTGCATGTAACTGAATGGACACACTTTACTGTTTATATATACACTGTATATGAACAATATGCTATCGGTAAGAATAAGCTATTGGTCAAGTGTATTGCTATTGTGTTACTGAAATATATTATCATTATCAGACCAAAAGAGGGAACAACAGGAAACAACAGCAATTTTAGTCTCAGCTTCGATTAGTCATTGTCTGTTTGAGGATAAATAATACTGGAGGTGGTTAATAAGTGGTGGATTCAGAGTTCTTAAGGGACTAGTGTTGTCTCTCAGGGTGCATTGAGGTAAGGAGTAAAGACTAGAGAAGAGGAGGTGAGGAAGGACTAGAGGAGAGGAGGAAAGACTGGAGGAGAGGAGGAAAGACTGGAGGAGAGAAAATGAAAGTAGAAGAGAAGACAGGGGAGAAGAGGAGAGGATACTTCAGTGAAGCTCCAGGGAGTGACAGACACACAGCACGGTCTAATCAGCCCATTGACTGGCTGCCTAACCCCTCATCATTGATTAGGACTGCTTGAAATCGGACCTCCCTAAGCCCCAGCACCAGCCAAGCAACTGTAGGCCATGCAAGGATAAGCTAATGCACTGCAGCCCTGGGTGTATAGGCTATAGGAGAAGTGTGTGACGTATAGGTCTGAGTGTTTGGAGGGGTTTAAACTAAACTCTTTCATCTTCTTCTAGGTGGTGTGAGGATGATCTATCCAGCAGCCTTTGTGCTGGTTGCCCAAGGCGACCTGCCTGTGGAGGAGCCCCCACCTGCACCAGGAGCCCAGGGGGCCAGCAGAGACCCCTCCCACTGCAGCATCCCCCTCACCCCCCCCACCTCACCTGAACAGCCCTGCTCAGGTACTGAAACACACACACACACACACACACACACACACACACACTGACACGCAGGTGCTCACACACACTGTACACACATGCTCAAGTGCATACACATTTGCGCTTAAATAAACATAGAGTACATAATCAAACACACATACACCATGTCACCACCAAAACTCCAGAACTTCACCCTAAATAATTGCATTCCCAAAATGGATAACACAATCTCTGAATCAGCACTATTAACTCAACAACAAAACAACTCAATACTGCAATCCATAACTCAACTCTAAATGCAATACAATCCATATAATTGTCCCTATCACTCAATCCATACACTTCATATGAAATAACACACAGAGAAGTTACTATATTGATTGCTTTGTGTATTATGGAGTCCTCATCTAGAACAAAGTCTTTGAGAATTGGGCTGAACATACAGATATTTTGCTGAAGATGTAAGACTACAGACAAATGAGATTGGTTTGTAACTCACTGAAACTGAATCGTCAGCGTCCTAATCCACGTTTAATTAAGTCTGCTTGATGAAAGTCTTACAAATTAGGAGATAAAACAGCTGATACAAGCAAACAAACAAACACCGCTATAGCTGCAGACTAAATCTTGAGTGTCTTATTGCAATTTTTCAATAGCTCAAGAGTCCTAGTAAAGTGTCTCCTGCCATGCACTTTTAAAACATCCACCCACAGCCTTGCCAAAGGAAGCAAACTCCAGTGAATGATGTCATCTGTTGTTTATTTCAGCGGACAGTGGCTTTGTGACAACAGTGTCCAGCGTCCTCCCTGCCCAGGAGAGTGCCATGGGGGTCACCAACCACAGCCCAAAGCATTCTGAGAAGAAACTGACCAATCAGGTGGTGCATCAGGCATGGAAGGAGTGTTATCTCAACCAACTGCAACACAAGTGAGTGTCCAGAGTGGCTGCTGGCTAAGCAGGGGCACAGATCCAGACACAGCACTATTTATCTCCTGGCATCTGCTGTGGCATTGTTATTGTTGATGTGCAGTGACACGACTGGCGCCCTCACACCTCTCTGTGTGCCCATAGATGCAGTGTGCCCAATAGCGTGACGCCAAAGAAGGAGGCGCCAAATGGGGTGACCACCTGGGACTTCACCGACCCAGAGGAGAGGGCACCCTGCAGCTGCTCCAGGTTGGCACAGGGGTTGGCATCAGGGGGTAGTGCCCCAGCCGTTTAGCACTGCAGCATGGCACCAGCCAGCTAGACATCTGGGCTTCATTTTTAGGCATTTCACTGCTTATAACCGAAAGCCTGTTGCTACTTATGTTAAGCATATTGAAATAGATTGTGTAGAAATAATGTGAACATGGTGAAAATATATTTATTTGTATTGAATGTTGGTCTTTTGAATGTTGGTATTTTTTATATGATTCAGATAAGTTGGCACAAGTTGAACGTGTACAATATATGGAACGTTTTAAAAACAGCATCCTCACCTGCCACACCAGTTCTGTCTGCCATCTGACCTTGTTTCTCTTCCTGAAGGTTAAAGCAGCAGAAACAGCAGCAGCAGACCAACACCTCCTCTGCCAACCCTCCGTCTGGTGCCAACATCACCCCCTCCTCTGGCCCAGCCCTCCCCCCTCCCTCCCTGCCCAAGCACAAGGCCATGGACAAGCCTGAGAAAGCCGACAAACAGCCGAAGAGAGCCGCCGCCATGACCCCCTTCCACCACCGCCTCTCTGTGGGCCAGGAGGCCTGCCTGGAACAAGACTCATCTGGAGGGTCCCAGCTCGGCCTAGTCGCCCTGGACCCTCCCCTGGATCCCATGCCCAGCTGCAAGTACACCAAGCCCCTCTCCACTGGCAGGAAAGCTCCAGAGTCCCTGCTCCACTCCCCTGTCTCCCCATTACCCCCCACGCTCAGCCCCCATCCACGGGTGGGACAGGACCCCGAGGTACTGGACGCCTCTCTGGGCATGGCCCCCTGTCCGGATGGGGCGTCAGGGATGGGGGTGATGGAGCCCAGTGAGACGGCTCTGTATGCAGCCCCTCTGGGGCCCAGGGAGGCTGGGGCAGGCTGGTGGAGGGGCTTTAGGACTCCCAGAGCTGATAAGGCTGAGTTCAGGCCTCCAGAGCTCCCCAGTGACAGAGTGGAAGTAAAGACAGAGACGCAGGCCACTGAGGGAGTTGCACTGAAGAGGTGAGAGAGCGAGAGAGAGAGCGATCAGTGCATTAATGACTAATTCAAAGACACATACTTGATCACTCTAAGTTTCCTTTCTCATTTCCCTCCTCCCTCCAGACTATTCATGCAGACACAGAAGCGCTTCAAGATCTCTGAGGAGTGTGTGAGGGAACACATCCAGACCCTGGGTGTCCTGCAGCAGCCTGGGGTGGAGGGGCTGGGGGACCCTGGGGACGACCCCTACGACTTCAAGGAGGGAGACATTGAGTACAGCTTCCCCACCTCCAAGAGACTGAAGGGCCAGGGCCGAGACCCCAGCAAAAGAGGCCCCAAAGTATGGCTCTTGTTACCAGTGAAAGTTACATTTGTTGCTTGACACCCAAGCTAGAAGGGGCGAAGAAACTAAATACAGTGTGTCTGTCTTCCAGGGAGAGGAGATCAGCAACGGTGCACTGCCTGATGGGAAAGACGCCATGTCAATCTTTAGCTCTGCTCCCAAAGCTGGTGAGGAATTGAATGTTGACACCATATACAAATTCTATTCTAAATTGAAAATTTTTCCCAAAACATTGATCATAGGGTGTGTTCTGAGCATTGTGTTTGAGGGTCTTGTTTGTGCGTTTCTAGATGATGACTCACCACAGGACGACGATGCGGCGGCCAAAGCCCAAAACCCTTCTCTAACCAGGGAGACTGATCTGGTGGTCCTCATCTCAGACCTGGAGAACATCTTCGACGAGGATGAGGAGGAACTTGGGGTGGGACACATTCTAAGAATTACTGGATGTCTAAAATCTGTTCCATTTTCATTCCCGCTTTACACAAATGTAATACACTCAACATCACAATGATACATAATATATCTCATTCAGCAAACACTTTTATCCAAGGCTACTTACATCTGTGTTGTATAATAATTTATAGACTGCTTGCCCCAACCAGCACACAGCCAGGGTCCTGGTATCAGGAAGTGAAGATCGGAGGGAGGGGAGGGTGGCTGTGCCCTATCCTTCAAGTGAGTCCAGCTTTACATGTACACATGTTCAGCAGTTTGTTTGTTATCTTATGCATGTTATCTTAGCTGAATTTAGCGTGACCTGGGAAAAAGTATCTGTTTTTTCTACTCCTTCTATCACATCATCACTGTCTATGTCTCTCTCATCTCTTGCTGTCCGTCTCTCTCTCTCTCTCTCTCTCTCTCTCTCTCTCTCTCTCTCTCTCTCTCTCTCTCTCTCTCTCTCCTCTATTTCTCTCCACCCCTCATCTCCTCCCCCCATCCCGCTCTCTCTCCATTCAGCAGTAGCAGACCTCCAGCGGATGTTCCCCACACCCCCGTCCCTGGAGCAGCACCCGGCCTTCTCCCCCATCATGACATACCGCGACACCCCCAGCCAAGAGCCCCCGGCCCCCTCGGGGGGCTCCGACCACCCCCTGGGCCCCCTGTCCTCCACCCAGCTCCAGGAGTACCGGATGGAGGTGGAAGAGGGCATGGCCAGTCCCAAACCTGAGGACATCAAGGTGAGGCATCACAGAAGCAATGGGAATGGACATGATTAAGTCTGTAGTATGTGCAGAAAACCTACTGTAGATTATAGACAATTATGTTTGACTTTACCATGTTCAAAATAATATGTTTGACTTTGTAAAGTGAGATGAGTCCCATGAAAAGTGACACCATGTAATCTATTGATGTTGTCAAATTGGTTGATATGGTTAGTGGTAATATGATTAATGATAGAATGGTGAAAAGGCTTAAAGGCCCAGTGCAGTCAAAATTCAGTTTTTCCTGCGTTTTAAATCATATTGTACAACAGCTGATGAAACGAACGCTGTAAAAGTGTGATTTATTTTACCAGTGTTATTTCCTTATAGTTGCTGGTTGAAAATATAATCTACACAGGACCTTCTAATCAGCAGGTTTGCATGGGCGGGAGTTTTGGCTTTCCATGGTGACATCACCATGCGGTAAATTGGTTAATAGACCAATAACAAAGAGAGTTCCAAACCTCTCCGCAAATAACATCTCATTTACAGTTGTGTCTCACCACTTAGACCACTCCCAGACAGTCCCATCAAAATTCTGTCTAGAGAAAAAGTTATTTGCAAAAAAATTATTTTTGCCAATTTTAATGGCAATCTATTGCAGTAAGGTACTTAAAGGTTACCCAGAAATTATTTTAAACTTATATAAAAACATCTGCATTGGGCCTTTAAAATAAAGTAGCTACAGGGCACTATGCAGCCTACCAGTGTTAATGTAAACCTTACTGCCTGGTTTGATCTTGTCTGATGTTGCTGTAGCATGTTTATACTGTACCTGCTGGCCTGGCCTGCCAGGGGACTTACTGGTATGTGGAACCAAATACCTGAACCTCTCAATACACCTCAAATCTCACAAAGCCTGTTTGAACTTATGACGGTGTTAATTAAGTGCTAATTGTCTCTCATTGTGACCTGTTACTGTGGGAACACATTTGCAATGAGCTCTCCTTCCCCATCCCCCTCTTCAGGACTTCTCATTTGTGTACCGTGTCCCCTCCGTCCAGCCACAGATGGGCTGCTCCATGTTTGCTCCGCTGCGGACCCTCCCCAGCCAGTGTCTGCCCCCCCTCAAGGTGCCTGACCAGTGTTACTACCGGCCCTCCTGGGCCCTGCTGCCCAAGATGGAGCACTACTCCTCCCTGCCGCCCTCTCATCACGCCTCCTTCATCAAAGATGGATATGTGTAAGTACTGTACCAGGGCTGGTTCTATTAAAATATTCATTAAACGATACCATGCTGAATTTACAGCTATCAATAAACTGTTATGGAGGAGTTTTTATGTACAGTATAATTTGAAGGTTTGGGGATTTTGGTCTGTCTGATTACCAATTCCTTTGTGTGTGTGTCCTCCAGCAACGTCCCCAGTGTTGGGGACCAGGAGTATGCCCAGATGAGTGCCAGCGCCCTGTCCATGGGCACCACCGGTGGCATCCTCCCCTCGCCCTCCCCTGCCACCCCCCGCTTCTCTGTCCACACCCCTCGTACCCCCCGCACCCCCAGGGGCATAGGCACGGCCAGCGGGCAGGGCTCGGTGAAGCAGGAGGGCACCGGGACAGAGCTGAGCTCCCCTGCCTCCACGCCCTCCACCAGCCTGCCTATGAGCTCCGTAGCTGAGCCCCATACGTCCGGCCCCCCAATACCCGAGGCCCACAGCCTGTACGCCGCCCTGCTCCTCTCTGACTCGGTCCTCAACGTCTTCAAAGACCGCAACTTCGACAGCTGCTGCATCTGCGCCTGCAACATGAATGTGAAGGGCGCCGACGTGGGTGTGTACATCCCCGACTCCACGCTCGAGGACCAGTACCGCTGCATGTGCGGCTTCAGCGCCATCGTCAACCGTCGGCTGGCCCACGGCACAGGCCTCTTCCTGGAGGACGAGCTGGACATCTTTGGTAGGGGCTCGGAGGTGGGCCAGGCGGCCGAGAGGAGACTGGCGCTGTGCCGCAGAGACCCACCCATGGGAGACCCCCGGGCCAAGCGCCCCCAGGACTCCTCCCCTGCCCCTTCCTCTGTCATGGTGCTCCTCCAGCAGCAGTGCTCCCAGCCCATCTCCTCCCTGGCCTCCATGCACCTCCCTCCTTCCTGCTCCTGCAACGGCCGCCAGGGAGCCCTGCTCCAGAGCTGGATGTCTGACAAGCAGTGGGTGGATGGCAGTGATACGTGTGTGGAGTGTTACAACGCGCTGGTACAGGGGCAGCAGTATGTGGATAACCCCGCCGGAGGGAAAGTAGATCCGGCTGTTGTGAGGAGCAGCGCTCTACACTCCTGGCCTCACACCAATAGTAAGGAGGAGTGATCTGGCTGGGATAATAAAAGGATGCCAAAGGATGATACACTTTTAGAAAAAATGTGCTACCTAGAACCTTAAAGGGTTCTTTCAGCTGTCCCCATAAGAGAACCGTTTGAAGAACCCTTTTTGGTTCCAGGTAGAACCCTTTTTGGTTCCATGTAGAACCACAGAGGGTTCTACATGGAACCCAAAAGGGTTCTACCTGAAACCAAAAAGGGTTACCCTATGGGGACAGCCGAAGAACCCTTTTGGAACCCTTTTTTCTAAGAGTGTAGTAGTAGGAGGATGACAGTGGTGATGTCTATCTGTGGTGAACTGATTACAGAAAATTATAGAGACAAATGGCTTTTTTTATTATAATGGAAAAACAAACAAGATCAATCCATTCACTCAAAGTTCAAATCCATGTTTCTCTTTGTTAGTTTCGGACTGTTGTGTGATGTGACGTTCAATGTGTATGACGTATATTTATGTAATGTATGCATTTGTGTGCGTGTGTGTTCTTGTGTGTGTATGTGTGTGTGTTCTCGTGTGTGTGTGTGTCTCCTTGTCTCTCCCCAGTGCTGGACATCAGTATGCTGGCATCCCAGGACGTGGTGCGTATGCTGCTGTCCCTGCAGCCCTACCTCCAGGACGCCATCCAGAAGAAACGGATGGGCCGGACCTGGGAGAACATCCAGCACGTACAGGGACCGCTCACATGGCAACAGTTCCACAAGATGGCTGGACGAGGCTCCTACGGTAAGCCACCAGGGACACTGTTCATTTGATGTCTCTAGTGATTTGCTTTGTAGTGTATTTTAGCAGCCACATTAACTGTGGATGACTTTGCGCCTGACTTTCGTCTGGATTTCAGCATGTGATGTGAGATGCGAATTTAAGATTAGGAGTTTAGGAGTATGCCTGACAGAGTAGGCCCTACATTATATTATCAATATTGTCAGTACAAAGATATTTGATTTGGTTTGCACTGTATTTTAGCAGCCATGTGAACTGGATAAGAGCGTCTGCTAAATGACTAAAATGTAAATGTAAATGTAAACTGTTGGTGACTGGATCATGCTCTTATGTCAATGTAGTAGTAGGTCCTGTATTATATTGAGATTGCCAGTACAAGGATAACATGAGAAATGTAATCGAATAAGACCATTTTTCAATTAGACCTCACCTCCTTTAACTAGTCCAGTCAAGCATCCCATAATGCATTACATTGTCTCACATGCATCATCTTTCTTCTGACCAGGGTCTGAGGAGTCGCCAGAGCCTCTGCCTATTCCCACCCTGTTGTTGGGCTATTACGACTACTACGACCGTAACTTCCTGGCGCTGTCGCCCCTGGCGCTGCCCTTCTGGGAGAAGCTGCTGTTGGAACCGTACGGGGGACAGAGAGACGTGGCCTTCCTGGTGCTCTGTCCCAACTCTGACACCCTGCTGGCCGGGGCACAAGTCTTCTTCCAGGAGCTCAGCGCTGTCTACGAGGTAGGTCCTGTCATCTACTGTATCACAACACTCTAGTCCAGTAAATTCTTACTTGTTGTTTCTTTCAGAATATACCATTATTACCAATAGATGTATGAATGTGTGAAGACGTATGAAAACAAGGTGAAATACTGTGTATGTGATCTATAGCCCTTGACCCCTACCTGTGTTCATTTTCAGACATGCCGGTTGGGGAAACACAGACCCCTGGCCAAGGTGTCCAAAGATGGCCTGGTGCGTGTGGGGGCAGTGGACACAGAGACAGAAACAGAGAAGGAGAAAGAGAAGGAGAGGCAGGAGGAGGAGCAGGTAGGCCAGTGGTTCACAGGGCCCTGGGCTGGACCGCAACACATCGACAACCTCAGAAAACTTCAACTCTACGCCCGAGCCTGCAGAAAGCATCTAGGTGAGAAACTGAGCTTTATGAGTGCATTCTATTTTATTCTATTCTATTCTATCATTTATGCTACTTATTAACGCTCCCCTTGTGATGTTTATGTGATGTAGACCTAACTCTCTATAGATACACTATATATACAAAAGTATGTGGACACACAGCCATGCAATCTCCATAGACAAACATTGGCAGTAGAATGGCCTTACTGAAGAGCTCAGTGATTTTCAACGTGGCACCGTCATAGGATGCCACCTTTCCAACAAGTCAGTTCGTCAAATTTCTGCCCTGCTAGAGCTGTCCCGGTCATGCTTCACCATCTGGCAGTCCGACGGACGAATCTGGGTTTGGCAGATGCCAGGAGAATGCTACCTGACCGAATGCATAGTGCCAACTGTAAAGTTTGGTGGAGGAGGAATAATGGTCTGAGGCTGTTTTTCATGGTTCGGGCTAGGCCCCTTAGTTCCAGTGAAGGGAAATCTTAACACTACAGCATACAATGACATTCTAGACAATTCTGTGCTTCCAACTTTGTGGCAACAGTTTGGGGGAGGCCCTTTCCTGTTTTAGCATGACAATGCCTCCATGCACAAAGCGAGGTCCATACAGAAATGGTTTGTCGAGATTGGTGTGGAAGAACTTGACTGGCCTGCACAGAGACCTGACCTCAACCTAATCGAACACCTTTGGGATGAATTGGAACGCCGACTGCGAGCCAGGCCTAATCGCCCAACATCAGTGCCCGACCTCACTAATGCTCTTGTGGCTGAATGGAAGCAAGTCCCCGCAGCAATGTTCCAACATCTAGTGGGAAGCCTTCCCAGAAGAGTGGAGGCTGTTATAGCAGCAAAGGGGGGACCAACTCCATATTAATGTCATTTACATTTACATTTACATTTTTACATTTACAAATGTAAATGTAAATGTAAAATGTAAATGTAATGTCCATGACATACTTTTGGTCAATAATTGTATAAATTGGTATTACACTAACTACTCAATGCATTTCAACTCTAACTTCTCCTCTATGTTTTCCTCTACCCAGGTCCACAGTTGTCTGCCCTATCTTTGGACAGCAGTCTGTTTATACCCCCCAAGCATCAGCCTCACTTAGCCCCTACGCCCTCTTCAGCCCAGCCTGCCCCCTCCTCCAGCCAGCCCCCCTCTGGCCCCGGGGTCCCTGCTGAGGGAGAGCCAGCGACCCCCCCAGCAGCCCCTAGCTCAGGAAGCACCCGCACCCCCACCCCCACGGCAGCAGCCTCATGCCAACCAGGCCCAGCAGAGATTACCCAAGGAGGGGCCGCTGAGGCCAAGAGTACCCCCAACGCCACACTACCACCACTCCCACCTAGCCAGCCAGCAGAGACCCCTGAGAGGTGAAGATCTATGCTAGGGCATATATGCTTCTACAGTGGGGATAACAAGTATTTGATACACTGCCGATTTTGCAGGTTTTCCTACTTACAAAGCATGTAGAGGTCTGTAATTTTTATCATAGGTACACTTCAACTGTGAGAGATGGAATCTAAAACAAAAATCCAGAAAATCACATTGTATGATTTTTAAGTAATTAATTTGCATTTTATTACATGACATAAGTATTTGATACATCAGAAAAGCAGAACTTAATATTTGGTACAGAAACCTTTGTTTGCAATTACAGAGATCATATGTTTCCTGTAGGTCTTGACCAGGTTTGCACACACTGCAGCAGGGATTTTGGCCCACTCCTCCATACAGACCTTCTCCAGATCCTTCAGGTTTCGGGGCTGTCGCTGGGCAATACGGACTTTCAGCTCCCTCCAAAGATTTTCTATTGGGTTCAGGTCTGGAGACTGGCTAGGCCACTCCAGGACCTTGAGATGCTTCTTACGGAGCCACTCCTTAGTTGCCCTGGCTGTGTGTTTCGGGTCGTTGTCATGCTGGAAGACCCAGCCACGACCCATCTTCAATGCTCTTACTAAGGGAAGGAGGTTGTTGGCCAAGATCTCGCGATACATGGCCCCATCCATCCTCCCCTCAATATGGTGCAGTCGTCCTGTCCCCTTTGCAGAAAAGCATCCCCAAAGAATGATGTTTCCACCTCCATGCTTCACGGTTGGGATGGTGTTCTTGGGGTTGTACTCATCCTTCTTCTTCCTCCAAACACGGCGAGTGGAGTTTAGACCAAAAAGCTCTATTTTTGTCTCATCAGACCACATGACCTTCTCCCATTCCTCCTCTGGATCATCCAGATGGTCATTGGCAAACTTCAGACGGGCCTGGACATGCGCTGGCTTGAGCAGCGGGACCTTGCGTGCGCTGCAGGATTTTAATCCATGACGGCGAAGTGTGTTACTAATGGTTTTCTTTGAGACTGTGGTCCCAGCTCTCTTCAGGTCATTGACCAGGTCCTGCAGTGTAGTTCTGGGCTGATCCCTCACCTTCCTCATGATCATTGATGCCCCATGAGGTGAGATCTTGCATGGAGCCCCAGACCGAGGGTGATTGACCGTCATCTTGAACTTCTTCCATTTTCTAATAATTGCGCCAACAGTTGTTGCCTTCTCACCAAGCTGCTTGCCTATTGTCCTGTAGCCCATCCCAGCCTTGTGCAGGTCTACAATTTTATCCCTGATGTCCTTACACAGCTCTCTGGTCTTGGCCATTGTGGAGAGGTTGGAGTCTGTTTTATTGAGTGTGTGGACAGGTGTCTTTTATACAGGTAACGAGTTCAAACAGGTGCAGTTAATACAGGTAATGAGTGGAGAACAGGAGGGCTTCTTAAAGAAAAACTAACAGGTCTGTGAGAGGCGGAATTCTTACTGGTTGGTATGTGATCAAATACTTATGTCATGCAATAAAATCCAAATTAATGAATGTGATTTTCTGGATTTTTGTTTTAGATTCCATCTCTCACAGTTGAAGTGTACCTATGATAAACATTACAGACCTCTACATGCTTTGTAAGTAGGAAAACCTGCAAAATCGGCAGTGTATCAAATACTTGTTCTCCCCACTGTATATTGCTATTGATACAAAGATTGTGGGGGCTGTTTTGTTAGACTTCAGTGCGGCTTTTGACATTATCGATCATAGTCTTCTGCTGGAAAAATGTATGTGTTATGGTTTTACACCCCCTGCTATAATGTGGATAAAGAGTTACTTGTATAACAGAACACAGAGGGTGTTCTTTAATGGATGCCTCTCAAACAGAATCCAGGTAGAATCAGGAATTCCCAAGGGCAGCTGTCTAGGCCCCTTGCTTTTTTCCATCTTTACTAACGACATGCCGCTGGCTTTGAGTAAAGCCAGTGATTCTATGTATGCAGATGACTCAACACTATACACGTCAGCTACTACAGAAACTGAAATAACTGCAACACTTAACAAAGAGTTGCACTTAGTTTCGGAATGGGTGGCAAGTGTAACCCTCTGTCAGTGGCTGATGTGGATGTGGTGTAGGAGTCAGGCGCAGGACACAGAAGCTACTTCCAACAGACTTTACTAGAAGACACGACAATACAAAGAAAAGGGCCTCAACAAAACAAGGAGGCGAGCGATTACGCAACAGTGCGCAAAAATACTCCAAATGCACAAGAATACGCAAAAGTGCGTCTGTACTCTAAACACAATAGAGTAAAATACCAGCACCTACGGACAGGCGGAACAATTACACACAACTCACTACAAACAAAACGAGACACTTATAGGGAACATAATTAACACTAAAAGGAAACAGGTGTACAAGGAAGACAAAACCAAACAAACATCGATAACATACAACGGTGGCAGCTAGTACTCCGGGGACGACGAACGCCGAAGCCTGCCCGAGCAAGGAGGAGGAGCAGCCTCGGCCGAAACCGTGACACCCTCTCACCAGGCTCGAATTTGACTCACACAGTATTACCTTACTTAGAATATCTGAACAGCATGGGATATTAGGTGAGAAGGACATCGCCAATAAGAATCCCTATTGTAAACTTGCTAGGGTGAATGACAAATAGGGTATTAACTTCAGATAAAATGATTATAGACTTGGTTATTATTATAAGGATATGCTTTCCCATGCATTAAATGAAACTGAAACAGTAAATGACTCCACCAATACAACAGACATAAGGTTCAATATCTATATTATCACATTTTCTATGTACCATATCAAAAGAAATAAAAATAATAAACCCCAATTATTTTTCCTCAACCCATTTCCAAATTATTTGAAGCTTGCTTAAACCCTGGGCGCCCGTTGGAGCTAAAAAAAAATGACGACATACATAAAGTCCCGAAGTCCACCCCACATTTGTAGTTACTCACTACTTGTAGATAATGCCTCAGCAAAGTATAGCAGTTCCGTGCATGTGTCCTCACTAGATCCACAACGAACACAGCTATCAATGCAGCCAGTACTCCGTAGCAGCAACAGACATCTCGTGGAAACCCGAACTCGTTGATCGTCACAAGCAATTCTCTCCAAGTCTCGCACGATGCTAGGCTAACCTCTAGGATGTCGAATGTCTCCACAATGCGACGGCAGCTTCAGTCTCCACTAGGTCTTTCTTAACGAAATAATAACACTCTCTTATATAAATAAAATCAGGATTTCCCTTCAAAACTCTGTAGGTATGGTTTTGTTCTCTCTTTATCGTTTCCTTTAGTCGTTTTCCTTCACCAACCCCACTAACGTCTCTCCTCTCCCTTCTTTCAACCTTTTCCCTCTCTTTTCTTTTTTCCAGCAACCAGTCCACTCTCCCATTGGCCACAACTTAACAAGTTACCTCATTGGTCAAAACTTTGATACGTGGGAAACTTAAACTTAAAAGTAAACCAACCTATTCACTTGTACATTTTTGAAACATTGCTTCAAAAGAAATGCATTAACGACATTACAAATCAGGAGCTATTCGATCACCTTTTAAATCTAATACCAATTAATTATAACAAATAAACTCTATACTTGGTTTTAGCAAGGGTATTACACTAGGAATAAGTTAGTCCTGAATATTTCCAAAACTAAAATCATTGTATTTGGGTCAAATAAATCACTAAACCCTAAACCTCAATTACATCTCGTAATGAATAATGTGGAAATTTAGCAAGTTGAGGAGACTAAACTGCTTGGAGTAACCCTGGATTGTAGACTGTCATGGTCAAAGCATATTGATACAACAGTAGCTAAGATGGGGAGAAGTATGTCCATAATTAAGCGCTGCTCTGCCTTCTTAACAACACTATCAACAAGGCTGGTCCTACAGGCCCTAGTTTTGTCGCACCTAGACTACTGGTTAGTAGTGTGGTCAGGTGCCACAAAGAGGGACTTGGGAAAATTGCAATTGTCTCAGAACAGGGCAGCATGGCTGTCCCTTAAAAGTGCACGGAGAGCTAACATTAATGACATGCATGTCAGTCTCTCCTGGCTCAGAGTGGAAGAGAGATTGACTTCATTACTGCTTGTTTTTGTAAGAGGTGTTGACAAGCTGAATGTACCGAGCTGTCTGTTTAAACTACTATCACACAGCTCGGAAACACATGCATAGCCCACAAGACATGCCACCAGAGGTCTCTTCATAGTCCCCAAGTCCAGAACAGACTATGGGAGGCGCACAGTACTACATAGAGCCATGACTAAATGGAACTCTATTCCACATCAGGTAACTGATGTAAGCAGTAGAATCAGATAAAAAAAACAGGTAAAAATACACTTTATGGAACAACGGGGATTGTGAAGAGACACACACAAGGGTATAGTCACATGCATACGCACACATTGTGATATTGTTGTATGGTGGTATTAAACATTTTGTATTGTAGATAGGTAGTGGTGTAATAATGTCATATGATGTAGTGTTTAATATTTTGTTTTATATGTAATGTAAGTGCTTCAATATGTTTGGGGATCCCTAATAAATACAAATGACTATGTTATTATTCAGTATTCTATGTTATCATGATATTGGGATATTAATCATGTCTCTGCCCCCTTTACCAGTTTGGCGGAACGGGAGCGAATCGGCATCCCCACGCTGGCGGATTCGGCCGATAGCCACGCCCACCCCCCGGCCATCGTGATCTATGTGGTGGACCCCTTCCTGTGCTCAGGTGGAGCGAGGGATGGCGGAGGAGGAGGTGGAGAGGAGGAGGAGGGAGAGGAGGTGGAGGGGGGCAGTGTGTGGTTACTAGGGCTGCTGCGTTGCTACACAGAGATGCTACAGACATTGCCGGAGAGCATAAGACCAGCTCTGGTCTTACAGGTAGGATCAAATACTTAATTGTACTCTCTATAGCTTCTGTATGGTTGAATATTAATGATTATATAGATGAGAGACTGTGGGTAGCACCCTAATCCCTATATAGTGCACTCCTCTTGACCAGGACCCTCTGGTCAAATGGCATGTACTCTATATGGAATAGGGTGCTAAAACAGACATTGTCTGACGTGTCCTATCACGGCCAACAGTAATGAATATCTCCCCAGATCAATCTGCTCTCATACCAGAGTGTTCATTCATTCCCTATGTGTTGTCCAGGTGGTGCCATGTCAGTACCTGCTCCAGCCAGCCAGTGGTGAGAGCCCTCTGTACCTGCAGCACCTGCGCTCCCTGGCCTTCTCAACCTACTCCCAGTGCAGACGCCTCCTACCCACACAGACACACATCAAGTCTCTGACCGGTTTCGGCCCCGCCTCCACCCTAGAATCTGTGCTCAAGAGCCCAGAGGTAAGGCTTGGACAAACACACATTTATTGACATGTACACCCATTTAAACTCAGACCCAGGCTTCAAACACACTCACTCAGACACATAAGTGCCTACCCATTTATCTACACATCTCTCATCTATTTTTAACCCTATCACTCCCGAGACCCCAGCAAAAATAGGCTTTTCATTTATCTGACCTTCATTTATCTGCACGTCCAGCCCTTATATTTAGCCTCACAGTGAAGTGGTTTATTATTTTATTTCCAGGACAACCAGGGCTACAAGTAGAACACAAAACAATTTGACATAAACACTTGCATTCATGAGTTTTATTGACAAATGTCAATAAAAAAAGTAATGTCCGCCAAAGCAAAAACCTGATAAAAATGGATTTATATGAATGCTGTAAGTACATAAATTGTTTGCTCACTGGGAAATGAATATCCAACTAGTCAGTGACAACTGTGTGGAGTTTGTGACAGGAACTACTTGAGCTTATTACAGTATTATAGACACTATGTCCTGGGATTTCCTATGATCGTCTATGTATAGGAACCCCTTACCTTCTAACGACTCTTGTGTAGCTTGTGGACATCATAGAGCAAAAATGTTGCATGTTCATGGGAGTCTCAGCTTTTTTCATAGATAGCTTTTAATAGTTTGTAGCTCATACACAGATTTAGTATAAAACACGCGGCCCCCCTTCAGGATCCGCCCTTGTTTCACAAACACAACTCTAGCTCAGCCCCCGGTAATCACACAGACTAATGGTTGTTATCAAACACACAATGTTTAGAAGGGGTTAGAAATCCAAAACGCGGTGGTGTTACGGTGGGACTCATTGGGTTAACTTGTAAATAAACGCTTCAACTGTCTGACAATCCGACTCTCTTTTCTCCCTCTCCCTCTCCCCCTCTCGCTCTCTCTCTCTCTCACTCTCTCACTCTCTCTCACTCCCCTTGTCCCCTCCCCAGCACCCCAGCCCTCTACTGGGCTACTCTCCCCTGTACATCCTGGGTCCTACCCGTGCCAAGCAGCCGGAGCCAGGGGAGGTGTGGGCAGAGATCCCTCCCAGGTACAACGTGCTGTTTGTGGGCTACTGCCTGTCCCACGACCAGCGCTGGATCCTGGTCTCCTGCACCGACCAACAGGGAGAGCTACTGGAGACCTGCATCATCAACATCGACGTGCCCAACAGGTACAGTCAATCAGTCAGTCACTCAGTCACTCAGTTACTCAGGGCCTGGGAGAGTGTAGGATACCTATGGAGAGGTGTTATAATATAATATAATATGCCATTTAGCAGATGCTTTTATCCAAAGCGACTTACAGTCATGTGTGCATACATTTTTACGTATGGGTGGTCCCGGGGATCGAACCCACTACCCTGGCGTTACAGGCGCCATGCTCTACCAATTGAGCTACAGAGGACCACAATTGAGGTGTTGATGATAATGTGCTAGTTGTAGCTAATGTCAAACATAGGCTGGGATTTTTTGCATTTTATCCTTCATTATGTCTTCATAGTAGGCTAGGCTATATTATATTGAGTAAAGTAATACACTATTGTAGCATTTCGCAATCTGCAGGAGAATAGCATGCACCTATTTGGTTGTTGTATTAATACAGTTCATGATGCTATATAGACATTACCAAGCGTTCTTCTTGTCTCTCCCTGCTCCTCTTCAGAGCGCGGCGGCCCAAGGTCTCGGCCAGGAAGATGGGGCTGCAGAAGTTATGGGACTGGTGTGTCGGCATCATCCAGATGACCTCGCTGCCATGGAGGATCGTGATTGGTCGGCTGGGCAGACTAGGACACGGGGAACTGAAAGGTGAGTTCGGCATAGTACAGTATAGAATCCCTAAATCTGTCTCATTGTCCTTGCCGTTTGGTGTAGAAATCTCCAAGGTGGATCATGACAACGTTTAAGTTAAGCTGAAGCTGGTGATATTGTTACAAGTTTAGCACTGATTTTTCAAATCTCTAGATTTTCAGCCACAGTATTTCAGTTGATCCAGAGGAGATGACAGTAGACTGTAGAACCATTCACTGTATTGACCTAACTCTCCCCCTCTCTCCTCCCCTCTCCCCCCTCTCCCATCCCTCCCTCCCTCCCTCCAGACTGGAGCGTTCTCCTGGGGGAGCACTCCCTCCACTCCATCAGTCGCCAGCTGAAGGAAGCGTGTCGTATGTGCGGCATCTCCTCCGCAGACTCCCCCTCCATCCTCAGCGCCTGCCTGGTTGCCATGGAGCCCCAGGGCTCCATCGTGGTGATGCCAGGTTAGCAACTGCAGCAGCAGCATCAGCACCGCTGGGCCGGCCCATGGATGATGTGTTTAATGTACCTTCCAGATCTAATAATCTAATAGACATAATTAATATATGTTTTAGAAGCTCACTCTAGGAGCCCTGGGGTTGCAGATACACCAGGATGTTATGACCCAAAGGTGAACAGTGTGATAGTATGTTTAGCCCCAATGCATAGTACAGTGCAGAGGGATACAATCTTAATAGAGATGGCAGTAGTAATGGGTGGAGGGTAAACTCTGAACGACACCTAGGAATAGACATATTACTGCACTCAGGGAACACATTGAGCTGCCACACATTGAGGGAGCATTTTGAGCTGCCACACTCACTTCACAGCACACAGTAATGCAGACATAGTGGAAATTGCAGTACTTTGAGCCAAGGTTAGGCCAAGTGGATTTTACAGTACAGACACTCTGCACTGTAACACATTGTGCACAGCAATACAAACTTTAGCACACTCAAATGATTTCATTGCCAGCACACAGCAAGCTCTATTGAGGTAAATCACAATACAACCTTACATAACATATTGATAATAAGTTGTTTGTTTGCGTGTGTGTGTGTGTGCAGATGCGGTTACAATGGGCTCGGTGTTTGGTCGCAGCACTGCCCTCAACCTGCAGACGTCCCAGCTGAACACCCCTCAGGATGCTTCCTGTACCCACATCTTGGTATTCCCCACCTCCGCCACCACCCAGCTGGCCGCCAGCTCCTACCCCACAGAGGACAACGCTGGTAAGGGCTCCACATTAGACCTCCATGTTAGCACCATGTACTCCCTAACTGGAGTGCATGGTGCATACTGTAGCACAATGCAGAGTGTTTTTAGATGCAAGGTTATTCAATACAACCAAGATGTTAGAGACAATAACATATCTAAAAAATATTTACTTGAGCTGGAAATCGCAAGGTTTAATATCAGTAACTAGCTTTTGTGTACTCAGTGTCTTACAGTTGCTGTTGCTGGATTTAATATTATGTGCAGTTCACACATTTCCCCACCAGAGTGCGCAATTGTCTAAGGATTGTTTGCATGCTCCCTTTGGAACTGTCACTGCTGTAATGGTTTTAGAAGAAGATACAGTGGACTACACTGTGTAGTCTACACCTCTTGTGTATGACATCTGAAGTTACGTGTGTACATCTGTGGCTGACTAGATAACTAACTATCTGCTGTGTTTGTCTCCAGACGACATGTTCGACCTGCCTTTCCCTGACGAGCTGGAGAATGACATAGGACATGACATTCTCAACCTTCACCCCTCCCCCAACACCTCCCCTGTACCCTCCCCTGGCTCCCCCTCTGGCATGGGGGGAAGCTCACACTTCCAGCATAACAGGGTGAGTTTAGGAACCAGGCTGTGACTCGATTCATGTGAATTATGCAGAACTTTTCCTGATACTGTTGGTGGCCATATGTCCTTTAGGACATTGGAATGTTCTAGAATCCTGCTTTAAAATAACAATGAGGGCCCAATTTAATCCGTATCGTGGAAATTCAGCTTTAGAGTGTGATTGAAATTTTAAGGCAATATTCCCGCTTTAGAAGAGATTGCATTCACGGTAAACGCTGCATACAGTTGAAGTCGGAAGTTTACATACACTTAGGTTGGAGTCATTAAAACTTGTTTTTCAACCACTCCACAAATGTCTTGTTAACAAACTATAGTTTTGGCAAGTTGGTTAGGACATCTACTTTGTACATGACACAAGCAATTTTTCCAACAATTGTTTACAGACAGATTATTTCACTTATAATTCACTGTATCACAATTCCAGTGGGTCAGAAGTTTACATACACTAAGTTGACTGTGCCTTTAAACAGCTTGGAAAATTCCAGGAAAATGATGTCATGGCTTTAGAAGATTCTGATAGGCTAATTGACATCATTTGAGTCAATTGGAGGTGTACCTGTGGATGTATTTCAAGGCCTACCTTCAAACTCAGTGCCTCTTTGCTTGACATCATGGGAAAATCAAAAGAAATCAGCCAAGACCTCAGAAAAGAAATTGTAGACCTCCACAAGTCTGGTTCATCCTTGGGAGCAATTTCCAAACGCCTGAAGGTACCACATTCATCTGTACAAACAATAGTACCCAAGTATAAACACCATGGGACCACGCAGCCATCATACCGCTCAGGAAGGAGACACGTTCTGTCTCCTAGAGATGAACGTACTTTGGTGCGGAAAATGCTAAATCAATCCCAGAACAACAGCAAAGGACCTTGTGAAGATGCTGGAGGAAACAGGTACAAAAGTATCTATATCCACAGTAAAGAAAAGTCCTATATCGACATAACCTGAAAGGCCGCTCAGCAAGGAAGAAGCCACTGCTCCAAAACCGCCATAAAAAAGCCAGACTACGGTTTGCAACTGCACATGGCGACAAAGATCGTACTTTTTGGAGAAATGTCCTCTGGTCTGATGAAACAAAAATACAACTGTTTGGCCATAATGACCATAGTTATGTTTGGAGGGAAAAGGGGGTGGCTTGCAAGCCGAAGAACACCATCCCAACCGTGAAGCACGGGGGTGGCAGCATCGCGCTGTGGGGGTGCTTTGCTGCAGGAGGGACTGGTGCACTTCACAAAATAGATGGCATCATGAGGAAGGAAAATTATGTGGACATATTGAAGCAACATCTCAAGACATCAGTCAGGAAGTTAAAGCTTGGTCGCAAATGGGTCTTCCAAATGGACAATGAACCCAAGCATACTTCCAAAGTTGTGACAAAATGGCTTAAGGACAACAGTCAAGGTATTGGAGTGACCATCATAAAGCCCTGACCTCAATCCTATAGAAAATGTGTGGGCAGAACTGAAAAAGCGTGTGCGAGCAAGGAGGCCTACAAACCTGACTCAGTTACACCAGCTCTGTCAGGAGGAATGGGCCAAAATCCAACCAACTTATTGTGGGAAGCTTGTGGAAGGCTACCCGAAACGTTTGACCCAAGTTAAACAATTTAAAGGCAATGCTACCAAATACTAATTGAGTGTATGTAAACGTCTGACCCACTGGGAATGTGATGAAACAAATAAAAGCTTAAATAAATAATTCTCTCTACTATTATTATGACATTTCACATTCTTAAAATAAAGTGGTGATCCTAACTGACCTAAGACAGGGAATTTTTACTCTGATTAAATGTCAGGAATTGTGAAAAACTGAGTTTAAATGTATTTGGCTAAGGTGTATGTCAACTTCCGACTTCAACTGTATGTCGCCTCAATCGGAAATTACCTTAACATTTCTATCGCGGAATCTGTAACGCTTCAGTGATACAGATTGAATAGTTTATGCCTGTGTTATGGTGTGGCGCTATGGTCCATAACTAAAATCCTATGGTGTACTTCAGTAATGTTCAGTGCACAGGCATCTGTGATAGTCGAAAATAGAGCAGCTGTGTGGTCTGGTCTTTGGCAGCCATGTTGCCCCCAGTATTAATGTTCCTTCTGTCCCATGTGCTCCTCCAGAGTCAGGGAGAGAGGCTTCTGTCCAGGGAGAACCCTCCAGAGGAGCTGAAGCAGCAGCCTCTAGCCCTGGGATACTACGTCTCCACTGCCCAGGCCGACAGCCTGCCTCACTGGTTCTGGGCCTCCTGCCCTCAGGCTCAGAACCAGTGTCCACTCTTCCTCAAGGTAAGGGATCCATGTACTCGTTGATTTTGTTTGCGCTCGTGGGGATGGGGGGGGGGTGTATGTCTGTGCGTGCGTGTGCGTTCATTCTTTTGTGTGTGTTTGTACATCTGTGTGTGTTCAGCCACTTACCCTGTGTTTTTCCCCTCCAGGCATCCCTACACCACCACATCTCCATCGCCACAGCCCAATCAGACGAGCCCAACCAGACGAGCTCAGACAAGACGACTAAGAGGACGGCTCACCCTCTGGACTCCAAGACCACCTCTGACGTGCTCAGGTTAGTAGGTCTCTGCTGTATGCCCTTTACCCACTGCCCATCCCATCCTACCTTCTCCTACTGTATAACAACCTAACATCTCCTCTTCTCTCACTCCGATACATAGGTTGTCGTTGTCACTGACTTGTCCTCTGTGGTGAAGTAGTAGCTGTATGCCTGCATCATTTGTAGGCTGTAGAGGACAACACTTCATCTACTATGATGTATGTTCACGTTATGTGTTCTCTACTCTAACCCCAAACCCTGGTCCTCATGTCTTGCGTCCTATTGTAGGTTTGTGTTGGAGCAGTACAACGCCCTCTCGTGGCTGACGTGTAACCCTGCCACCCAGGACCGCCGCTCCTGCCTGCCTGTCCACCTAGCCGTGCTCACACAGATGTACAATGCCGTCCTCAACATGCTTTAGCAATGGGACTTACTAATGGACGGCTGAGGAAACTGACTATTGTACAATCCATGGCCTCTAAGGTCATGTGTGCCTGCCTGCAATGCCTCTGTTTGGACACCAGAGAGCGCTAGAGGTCTGTTTTATTTCTTTCCCTGGATGGACACATAGAACGAGACTTATGGACCCCTTTTACACCTGGTGTTGTCATGCGATCTGTGATCGAATTGTGGCCATATTTCAGTGGATTGATGGCCAAAATGGTGGCAGGAGGACAACAGATGGTCCTTGGTTGGGAAAACAACCAAATGCCTATGTACAGTACAGACTTTTGAACATGAACAGTTTGGTCAGCCGTGAGACCAGCCTAGTGCAATTCTTACCTTTAGAAAACGTTTCTTGTAAGATGTGGTGATGTGCCAACAACCATTGTACTTTGAAAAGGCACATACAGCCTGAGAGAGAAGATGGAGATATCCAACTATGCCCTTTTTATTGTCATAATAGGACATTTCAGTGTTACACTTGTCATTATCAGATCAGCATTGTTGTACAGGAGGACTTTTCACCCTGTTCCTGTGAGACTGAAGATTTTTGAAGCCATGGAGGAAACATGTTAAAGGGTGGACTATGTGACCTACAGTATTGTCCTGCATGAAGACTTGGACCATCTCCCTTACCAGCCATGACAGTGATACCCCGGGAGCTATAAAAGCCTGATGTAGGATGGGAGCCTGGGAGTCACATGCATAAGGATCCTGTATCTGCCCCCCACTGCACAACCAGGGAACCAACTGACCACAGCAAAACAGCAGCTTCCTACCTTCAATTTGACACATTTGTAAAGAACTGTGGTTGTAATGGCTCAACGTTTAGTAATGGAATTCATACCAACATTCATAAGAGGGTGAAGAACACGACAATTTCCTATGAGGGCAAAGCATTTGATAATGGCTCTTTTACCTTACGTTTGGAAGTTTCAATTGTATTGCTGTAGATATGAACACTGAATACTATTTGACAAATAATGAACAGAGGTTCTTGTTTATAGTGTAAAACTGACATTTGCAAAGAATTTAGACTTATTTTTAATATTTAAAACTACATTTTGAAGACAAAAAAATTATCAAGGCCCTTTCCAAATTTAATATCAATCGCCTTTGGGTCGGAAATGGAAATTGTCCTTTTAAAGGAAATTGTAACAAAAATTGTTAAAATGCCATATTTATATATAGTATATAATGCATATAAATTCAAATATATATATATGTATATATATATATGTATATATATATATATATGTATATATATATATATATATATTACCTCTCTAAAACAGCCACATATGATGGTGGTGGGGGTTTATACATAACTTTCTTTTTGAAGAGGCAAATACAGTATACATCTTTTATTAAAGACAATGCATTTTAGTTCTATACTTTTAAACTTTTTCAATTATTGAAATGTTGACTTTTAGCCTTTTTATTGAATCAGTTTAAGTTAAGGTTCTTAATACTGCAAAGATATATTTATAAAGTGTCTCTCTTCTCCAGCGAAATAAACTTGAAATAGATAATAGACTTCAATGTTATGTATTTGAGAATTACTTGGGTGTTGTATATTTAACTAATATGCTTTACTTCAGTGGTGGTCCCAAATGATGTCAAGCAAACCATCAGAAAAGCCTATTTCTTGAGCTCCTCCACTCAAACAGCCCTGCTATTTGTACAATTCCTAGCATGTTTGTATAAACTTTTCAGCTGTGTTTTTGGAATTTCTCAAAGCTGTACATTTCATGCTGGTTTGATTTACTTTATATTAAGTGATTCCTATAAAGTATTTTTTGGCGCTGGCTTTTTCAAATATAAATATATGCATATGAAGTCTCATTCAAATACAGCCAAGGGTGTAATGCCAATAAATGTACACTAAAGTACAAAAGAGGAAAAGTTTGCAAATTTGTTACATCTGCCATCACTTTGAATATGAGACAGATCGATCTTGGAGAAGAGATCTGTGACTTTTACACTCTTTTTTTAGTAAATTATTAAAACTCTTGACAAATAAATTCCCCTTTGAGTGTGTGTGTTCTTCTAGACGCTATCTTATTTGACACTGGCTTCTTTAATCTTTTGATATCTTAATATGATTTGGGACAGTGCCACCCAGAGCACTCTCATTAAATTTGAGACAGGCAGCGTGATTAGTCCCAGACATTGATTCCATTGCCATGTTGTCACACTGATTATATGTCAAGTGTTGGAATGGTGTGGCGTATCAATGTTCTGCTATCTGCCTTCAAGTAGAAGGGAGGAGAGGGGAGGAGAGGAGAGGGCCTGTTAGCATGTTTCAATGCTTTCCCTCTGTTCTGTCAACACAGGGGCCTGTGAATTGGATCAACACCTCGGACCTCTCTCACATCTACATTGTAATCATTTAGCAGACGCTCTTAACCAGATGAACTTACAGTTAGTGAGTGCATACATTTTCATACTGGCCCCCCGTGGGAATCGGACCCACAACCCTGGCGTTGCAAACGCCATGCTCTACCAACTGAGCTACACGGGACCTCCATATTGGAGGCTATGTGGGAGACATCCTGAGAGCTGCCCTCCATATTGCAGACTATGTGGGAGACATCCTGAGAGCTGCCCTCCATATTACAGACTATGTGGGAGACATCCTGAGAGCTTCCCTCCATATTGCAGACTATGTGGGAGACATCCTGAGAGCTGCCCTCCATATTGGAGACTATGTGGGAGACATCCTGAGAGCTGCTCTTTAGTGTTACTGTTACATTAACACCATATCATCAACAGCCCTTATCAGTGATGATTATCAGTATGACACCGTTGTGCTAACATATACAGTTCTGTTTCTGACTCATTGAAACAAAACAGAAACATGACTGATGCTGCCTTGCCTTGCACCTCACTGGTTTCATTCGTTCATATATCTGTATATATACACAGTACATACTGTACACATACAGTAGATCTGTTTTTCTGTGCCACAGGTCAGGACTAAGGTTATACACTATGGCTCCTTTCATATGTAATTCATGTTTTTGGAGGAACATTTTGTGGTCACATTGACCTTCACTTTAGCAGTGACAGTCAGAGACAGTTGTCTGTGTCCGTGACAGACTGAGACAGAGTGCCGGGGCAGTGCCACACGCTCTCTATGCAAAACAAGGCGTTCCCACATCAATGCCCCATCAAAATGCCAGCTCTTAGTCACAATTTACCTGATGAGCCATCTATCAACCCAGCTGAAGGCTACTGTAAGCTCCAGGCCAGCGGCACCACTGAATTTTGATTAAGTCAACAGCGTGCTGATTGAGACGTTGTCCTGCCTCTGCATGTCTTCAACTCATCACACAAATGAGGGTCGGTCGGTCACAATGCCAAATGGTACAGCTTGGCTGGTGACACGCTGTGTTGAAACAGGCATAGTAAGAGCACGTCTATTAGATATATTCTAATCAATCAGATAAAGGAAAAATAAGTTCTGTAGGACCAGCTGTTTTCAAGGTGCACCCTTTTTGTGTCAGCGTATTTAATGATTTTAAAGCACCACATCCTGTGGCTTTAGAGTGCAGGTTAGAGGGGAAGAGTGCTGTTGTGTTTCGGAGAGTGCAGGACTCTGGAGCATGAGTGCACGGAAGTGTTGCCTAATGATTCTCCCTCCAGCCAGAGTGGAGGTCAGAGACTCAGGGTCAAATTAAAAGTCAAGCTGTAAGGCAGCAGGCACAGGGAGGAGGAGGATGATGGAGGTCTGGTGAAAAGCGCTGAAGAGTCACTCCCGGTGTGGCAAGGCTGTCTAATGGCCACTGCTCGGCCGCGCCGAGAGGAAGTTGACTAATTGAGTTGTTGCGTTATCCACAGATGGCCTATTAAGACATGTCCATTCACCTGCTACAGTATGTGCCTCACCGCCACTCGCGGCTGCAGTCAAATGGCCTCCAGACTGGACAATGGAACCGAGGAGCGGCCCTGAAAATGAGGCTATTAGCGCAAATACAATTAGCACTCAATTACAGTTTATCCCCTTCTGAAAAACGTCAGCCTAAATGGGGGACAAGGTTCTCTATAATGGTACCGTATGAGGTCACTATAGAGGTTCAATGATGTTAACCCCCTGTATCCTTTCCCCCAACAAAATAGGAAGAATTTGCAGATAGATTTGGTATATTTAGGTTATAAATGTGCAGGCTGCAGGGAAAACAAGGAACGACTTCTGAAAAAAGAAAGGGTAGCGCTTGGACAGTCCTCTACAACTAAATGCCCACTAACCCAAACCCTAGCTTCATGTCCACATCCCAGTTCAACCCTCACCCTCAAACCTAACCCTATAGTAATACATTGCACTTACAGCACTAATGCCAAACCTAACCCTAACCCTAACCAAGCTGTTGCGTGTCAATTGATTTGCAGTTAGTGGTTTGTTGATAGTTTTATCATCTATAGACCATCCATAGTGTGACCTAGGTTTATACATGTTACCTACAATAGTGTTGGTGTCAAAAGCTAGGTGACGATAAGACAGACTGTTCTGACATTCACATTTCAGTATGTTTTCTTCACAACAACTTGTGTTTCCCTCTTCACACATTGTAGCCTGAAGTGAACAGAGCTTATCAGGCCGTCGTTTCCTCAGCCAGGCAGATTGTCGCTCCAGATGCTCTGTGAGACTGTTTCACTTCCAGGCGTGACTTTAGTGAGAGTGCCGTTTGCTGTTTTGACATCTCCTCTTCCTCAGATGTGGAGGCAGCTGGGGGCTGTACCTTCACTGTTTTGGTGTGGATATGGAGATGGTGTGTGTGTGCGCCCGTTTGTGTGTGTGTGTGCGCCCGTGTGTGTATGTGTTTGGGGTCTCTTTCATGCGGGAACCTGGGACGATCATATCCCCCCCCACCCCTCGGTACTTGGTGTGTGTGTGTGCCTGTGTATGTGTATGTATGTGTGTACCCATGTGTGTGTATGTGTTTGGGTCTCTGTCATGCGGTGAACCTGGGATGA